AGAACTATATTATAAATATACAATTCTAAATTAATTTTAAATTTATCCAGTGATAAAAATGAAGAAATCTAACCGTAGTTGTTTGAATGAACCAGACAATTTTTGTTATATTTGTGGGCAATTTACACCTCGTGATCAGCGAAAAAATTTGTCAAACAGAATAAAGATTGCCTACTACCATTACTTTGGAGTAAAGGTGGCGGATCAAGAAAGAACCTGGGCTCCACATATTTGCTGCAGTGTTTGCTACGTAGGTCTCACTCAATGGTTAAATGGGAAAAGAAAGCAAATACCTTATGCCATTCCAATGATATGGCGTGAGCCAAGAGATCACCATTCAGACTGCTACTTTTGCATGACAAATATACAAGGACATTCTAAGAAAACCAAAGCATCAATTGTGTACCCTAATTGTTCATCTGCAATAAAACCAGTTCCCCACAGTGTTGAATATCCTGTTCCAACTCCTCCTACAGACACTGTTCTTTATAGCGAAGAAGAACAAAGTGGTGATGAAATGGTTGATGTTGAATACAAACCAGATTACGACAAAGATAAACCTCACATGATCACGCAGGGAGAACTTAGTGATCTGGTAAGGGACCTTGGGTTAACTAAAAATAAAGCAGAACTCCTGGGGTCTAGATTACAGCAATGGAATTTACTGGACAGAGGAACTAAAATATCCCATTTTCGTGACCGGCACACCGAATTTGCAAAATTTTACAACAAAGAGGACAATATATGTTACTGTGTAGACATTGCTGGATTAATGACAAAATTGGATGATGAGTATGATCCTGTAGATTGGCGTCTGTTTATTGATTCTAGTAAAGTCAGTCTAAAAGCAGTTCTGCTACATAACGGAAATGTTAAAACATCCATTCCTGTAGCCCATGCAGTGGTTATGAAAGAAACATATGAATCTATGAAGACACTTCTTAAAGTTATAAAGTACACTGATCACAACTGGGATATCAGTGGAGATCTCAAAGTTGTTGCTCTTCTTCTTGGGATGCAATTGGGGACACGAAACA